AGACAATGTTGGCGTCGGGTGCATGGTCAACACTTGCCAGTCCTGCGAGAGCTGTGAGGAAGGACACGAGAACTACTGCTCCAAGATCATCTTCACCTACAACTCCCATGACAGGGACGGCACCGTCACCTACGGTGGCTACTCTGACATGGTCGTCGTGAATGAGCGCTTTGTCATCCGGTTCCCTGATGGCATGCCCCTTGACAAAGGAGCGCCACTGCTCTGTGCTGGGATAACCGTGTACAACCCCATGAAGTACCATGGGCTAAACGAGCCAGGCAAGCACATTGGCGTGGTTGGACTTGGGGGGCTTGGGCATGTCGCCGTGAAGTTTGCAAAGGCATTCGGGATGAGGGTGACCGTGATCAGCACGTCCCCGGAGAAGAGGGAGGAGGCTATGGAGATGCTTGGTGCAGACGCCTTTGTTATTAGCAGTGATGCTAATCAGATGAAGGTAAGAAATGTTGGTTGGCTTGGCTTCATGGGACTTCAAGTAGTCCAATTAAGGGATAAATTGGATGAACAAAAATACTCATGTACTAGTTGATAAGGACCACTTCGCATTGCATTATGAGTAAATGAACTATTTATCATTGTGGGACCAATCTATCTGTTTCACTGTTTGTCGTTAGGGTGCAGCTTCAGATCTCTATCAATGGTATAATCCTTGGTGAAGTTCTGCTGCTTCATTACAAAAACGTCCAAAGCTTTATGGACCCTAACTTGAGAACACGCCATTTTATACCATCATGTTATCTTCTTTAACCAAGTATTAACTTATGTATCTTGATCTGCATTTTGACAGGCTGTGAAGGGCACAATGCATGGCATTCTAAACACGGCCTCTGCAAGCATGTCCATGTACTCTTACCTTGCTCTCCTCAAGCCCCACGGCAAGATGATCTTGCTTGGCCTGCCTGAGAAGCCTCTGCAGATCTCTGCCTTCTCTTTGGTTGCTGGTAAGTCTGTTTGACTGTTTCTAAATTCCGATACCGTTGCAGAGGTCAATTCAACAATTGCACACGGTACACCATTTCGTCATCTTCCATATGTTGATGATAAGATGGCAATACCCATTTTCAAGAAAGAAAAAAAAGATGGCAATACCCATACATCTTGCACAATGGTACTCTGATGATCTTCCATGGCGGTGGATGATGAGAAATGTTGCGACAATCTGTGCACACAGGCGGTAAGACTCTGGCCGGGAGCTGCATGGGGAGCATCAGGGACACGCAGGAGATGATGGACTTCGCAGCCAAGCACGGGCTGACAGCGGACATCGAGCTGATCGGCACTGAAGAAGTAAATGAGGCCATGGAGCGCCTCGGCAAGGGCGAGGTCAGGTACCGCTTCGTCATCGACGTCGGCAACACCCTCAGCGCGGCGTCACTAGCGAGCTCACCGGTCCCAGCTCTGTAGCTACTGACACCTGATTCCTCGGCCTTGTTTAGATTAGGGTTAGGAATTAGTATTTGGCATTATAACACTTTCATTTGTATTTAACAATTATTGTCCAATCATGGTCTAACTAGACTCAAAAGATTCGTCTCGTAATTTATAATCAAACTGTGTAATTAGTTTATTTTTTTATCTATATTTAATACTCCATGCATGTGTCAAAGATTTGATGTGACGGAGAGAGAGTGAAAAAACTTGCAATCCAAACGAGGCCCTACTTGGATCTACAAATGCTCACCTAAACATATTGTTGTGTGTCAATATATCATGCCTAAGTGAAGTATATTTTGAATAAAAAGGAAGTTCTATATAGCAATTTAAACGCAAGTAATACTATTTATCTTAAGCATCATGTCCATGCCACTTTTTCCCTATAATATACGCTGACGCTCTCAAGCAGCAGAACAGAACCTTACACTCATTTTGCATTCTCTCTTTCCCCACATTTAGAAACTTTGAATTCCACATCCACGAAGCTTTAGTATACAAATACATTTCAGCTTGCAGTGTTCAAGCAACAAAGCCTGTCGTGTCATCACCTAGACATGCCAAGAGATCTTGGAATGGACAGGGATCGGACCTCCGGTGCAGAACTTGGAAACATCACGTTGAGCCTGTGCATCAGGACGTCGGTCTTGGATGGTATCTCGTTCAGGAGGAACTGCTGAACGATTGGCTTCTTGAACCACTCCAGTACAGAGTTGCCAGGTGCCCGCAAGACGACTTTGCTCACCTCAAACGGCGACTCCAGCGACGCCAGCACTTGTGCCACCACCATCTTCAGTGTCGGCCCTGTCACCAGCTTGATGCGCCGTGGCACAACCCCATAGTAGAGCATCCGCTTCCTGAACCGATGCAGTGTGTGCACAGTTGCCACGAGAGCTGCACCCACGGATAAGCTCCGGACATCCAGGGACCATGCGATGTGCTGGTCAAAGATGATCGCCTTGGCAAACAGCTTATTCTCATAGGCGACCTTCCACACACAACGGGCACGGTTCATTTGCCCCATGAGCACCAGGTAGTTGAGCAGGACGTTCACGAAGTACCTGGCTGCGCTCTCCTCGTTGTCGTAGTCGATGCCCTGGAAGAACTCGCGCACGAACGAGAGCACAGGCTGCTTCCGCTGCTCCGGACCAGTGAACAGCCCACACATGAAGTCATGCGCCTTGTGCTTGCTGACGCCCAGGATGTCCAAGATTGCACGCTCGCTGCTCTCGTCCTGGCACCGCACCAAGTGTGCGAGGATGGATGTGTAGAGAATCAAGTCCACCTTCGCTGCCCCAGCAACATATGCCTCAAGCAACGGCCGCGCTGAGTCATACAGCCCTGTCTTCATGCAAGACTCAAACAGCTGCCTTATGATGAAGTTATTGGTCCTTATGCCAGCCGAACCCATGAACCGTAGCCACCGGAGTGCAAGGTCAGTTGACCCATCCTTGATGTAGATCATCAGCAGGTCACTTGCGGTTACCTCTATCGGGAAACCTGACGCCTTCATCTCCAGCAGCACCTTTGCAGCCAAATCCAGCAGCCTCTTATTCGCCAGCATCGTGAGCAACGCCGTAAACGTGCTAAGCCCTGGCCTTGTCCCTGCATTCGCCATGGAGTGATACAACCGCATTGCTGCATCCACCTGCCCAGCCGAGGCATGCATTTCCACCAGACAGGCATATGTGGCCAGCGTAGGGAAGAAGCCAGACTTCTCCATGTCACCAAACAACTTGGCGGCCATGTCCAACCTTCCAGACCGTGCATTGGCCTCGACCACCATTGTGTACAAGCCAAAGCTTGGTCGGAGCCCTCCCCTCCTCATCTCCTCCCAAAGCTCCATCCCAGCATCCAGCTTCCCAGATCTCACCAGGGCCTCCACCATGGCGGTGCTCACTGCTGTGCTCACCCGATGCCCGACCGCCACCATCTCTCTGTACATCCCCATGGCCGCATCAAGCCTCCCTGCCTTTGCCAGCACGTCCACCATCACCGAATACACGCCCACCGGCGCCCGCCCAATTCCCTCCCTTTGCTTCATTTCATCGAACATCTTGCGGGCGGCGTCGATCCTCCCGGCGCGCGCCCGAGCAGGCACAGCGAGCTCGTACGTGCCCTCGTCGAGGGCGCAGCCCGAGGTCGCCATTTGGTCGAGCACCTCGAAGGCCTTGAAGGCGAGGCCCCTGGCGAGCAACAGAGAGAAGAGGGCGTTGTAGGCGGGCGTCTCGAGGCCCCTGAAGCTGGCGTCGCAGAGGCGCTTGAAGCAGTAGAAGGCCGGCTCGAGGAGGCCGTGGGTGGCGAGCGCGGAGACGACGGCGTTGAGAGTCTTGGGAAAGGCGGCGAGGTCGGGGAGCCCTAGGGTGTCGTCGAAGAGCGCGAGGAGTTCGGAGGAGTGGGTGGCCGGCGGGAGGCGCGCGGCGAGGAGCGAGGAGAGGTCGTCGGAGGGGACGAACCACGGCTGGAGGTGCGCCCACGCGACAAGGGAGATGAGCGGGACGGGGTCGGAGGCCGGGAGCGAGGAGGCTGCGAGGAGCAGCAGCGCGGGGTCGGGCGCGGAGGGAAGCGCGGGGAGCGCGGCGGACAGGGGCGCGCCCGAGCGGTGCCGGAGCGCGAGCGCCGCGAGGCGGGGCGCGGGAGCGGGTGCGCGGAGGCGCCGGAGAGGATGGTGGGGTCTGCGCCCGGCACGGCCGGCCGCGCCCCGCGAGCCGAGGAGAGCAGCGCGCCCGACTCGTCCAGGTACTCCACCGTGTCCGTCCACTCAGGATCGGGCGGTGGCGGCGGCTCGAACGAGAGACGCCGCGCTAGGGGTAGGGAGAGGGAGACGCCGCCACCGCCGCCGCGAAGGTGGGCGCTGCGCGCGAGGCCGACGCGGAGCAGCATCTCTTCTGCTGTCTGGCTCGGTGGTTTGGTCGCCACCGGTGGACAAAGTCGCCAACGGCAAACCGATCCGACGGCCCAGATTGCAACGGACCGTCCATCCCACGAATGAGCGGGCTAGCCCAAAGGAACTTTTGGCCCATTCCAAATCGGCCCGCTGTGTTTGTGGTCCAGTCTCCGTCTCCTTCTCCTTTCCCGTCGTGGCAGGCAACAGGCAGGTTCGATCCAATCGACGGCTCCCGCAGCCTCCGGACCGCAACCCTCTCCTCTCGTCGCCTCTTCCATCTCTCGGCGTCGAATCTCCTCCGGCCACCTAGCACACTCTACTAGCCGCTCGGAAGGAGTTCTTCCGGGATTGGAGCTGTTGCTGCCCTCACCTCTGCTGGGGCGGCGTCGAGCGGAGACCCAATCGGAAATCGAACTGACTTCGTCTTTTGTTGGTAAGAAATCCTCTAGCCTGTCTCGCGGGATCCCTTCTTGCTGCCAATGGTCTAGTCCAAATCTTTCTGGCTGAGATGTACGCTCCAATCCACCCGTGCAGTTTACTGAGGAAGTGAGGAGTTGCTTGCTTTATGTGTGCGCGCGTGCGTTAAAAGCAGTTTACTCCCTATTTTTGGGCTCTAGCTGAACTGCGGATTACGTTGATTTCAGCTTCCCCATCCGGAGAGGCAATGTCAGGAGTGATCACAAAGTTTGCGGTTACATCCATGGTGATGTGGATGGCCCCGGTTGCGATCGTGTATGGGTTCTACTACCAGGTGTTTCCAGGTTCTGCTTCTGTTAACCTGTTTTCATTGCTGCATGGTGTTGGTGTGCTCCATCTACTGTGTTCAGATGCAGACATGCAGTACATAAATTTTATTTGGTAATGGTAGTTTTTTCTTAATTTCAGGTGTGAGTCAGATGTCATCCTCGGCACAGACACTCGCTAGCGGGTTCCTGGCTGTCATATCAGTTAATCTGGTGATCGGCTTTTACATATTCATGGCGATGAAGGAGACTCCAGACCAAGAGCCACAGCCAGATCCCACCTTCCTGGCGAACGCCAAAGCGAGTATCAACGAGCCAACATCCTCTCAAGTGAGTGATGATTCCAAGGGGAAGGGAAAGGTCGATTAAGCTTGTAGCATGTTGGCTTTGGCCTTGTGTATGTTAAGTGCATGCTATTTAGGAGGAATAGTTGTGCTACGCCATCACACTACACCGCAACCTTTTAAAGCTCATGATTTTGCTGTAAATCTTATCAGTTATGGTTATGGAGCAATATGAAGTTGAACTTTTTGTACCTATTCAATTTGGAAACTGTGTTCGATGTTATTTTAGTTACAATGCTCATTGAAACTACCGTTGGTTGTATTTAGGTCCTTTTTTGGTTATTTGGTTTGATTCTATTTAATCATGTGCATGTGCCTTGAACACAGCTGATATGTGGTGTCGTTCTGGTTTTTTGTGAGATAAAATCTATCAACATAGGTATTGGGTGATACTTGTAATATCTGCTTCAATGTGGATATTTTTCTATGCACACTGGTAACCTTTATTAGCTCTGGTCCGACTCGTTATTGATGATTGTTATAATGTTATTATTCCATAAGGAGAAAAATTAATTACCTTGAAGTACACGTGAAAGTTGGTATGGTCGTTAATTGCTGCACCTTTTTTATATCTTTTGACCTATAGCAACCTTTATCCAACATGTAAACTTTATTATAGGATCAATGGGATTTTGTTGAAAAATGCTGCACGATTCTGTTCAATAGCCTAAATGCGCATAAGCAAAGAACCTCCTGTACAAGAGGCTAATCACAAAGTAATGTATACATCCCTAAGAATTTACAAAGGGCTTCTAAACTCTTATAGCCTTTTTTTTGTTAATTTGGCATTCTTTCTAAAGGATGCCAATCTTCTATGAAGATTTCTCTCAACATAGGACCAAGGTGGATTCCTTCTAATATCACTTCGATCAGTATTTGTTAAAACATGTTTTTCTCAGAAGAGTGTAGTACTGTTGATTTTCCTGCATGGCTGCATATATCCATGACCTTTGTAGTTTGTACCTCTCAGGTCATATGTTTAACTATGAATTTCACATGTTTCTTCTGGTTATTGCGATAAGCTAAAAGATACAGATTGGTTGATTGTATGATAAAATGGGCTCAAGTCTCTCTTTACGACTGACAGCTCTGGACAGGACCTACAGCTAATGACTAACATAACTTTAGGATATAGGATTATGCTAACGAATAATGGATCATGCAATCTCACATTATGAAGTACATACAAAGGACCATCTGAGGCTATATGTATGGAAAATGGAGAACTCGTGGATTAATATGATGAACCCTTCAACAAGGGTGTCTTATTTGAGAAAATGGAGAACTCTTGGACAAATAAAATTATGTCTTCAACTCTAGCCATCCTCTGGTGGTTTGAAGATCTATGCCCATATAGCAAGCATGGACATCATCCCTGCACCTAAGAAAAGTGCAAGGTATGTCATCAGCTGAAGCTTTGTATTCGTCTGTAGTTTGGGTTTATTGAAATCTGTGGCCAGAAGATTGACTAATGACATGTAGATCAAAATTCCTGCTGAGGCTGAGTTGAACACTCCTTCAACAATGAAGGCTGTAGTGCTATGGCCATTGTAGCTAGATGAAATTGCAATCCCTAATGCAATGCCAATGGGTGCAGTCAGGGAGAAAAAAATTGCCATCATGACGGTAGCCCTCAACTTGAAATTTGCCTGCAGCGAGAAATGGGAGCCAGAGGATGTTAGTTTTTGTTGTTGTTGTGAAGCGAAATATGAGGTTAATTCTTTCTTCTTTGTGTTCATTTATTTTATTTATTGAATAAATGTTAACATATCATTGCTAGGGTCTATTTGCATGGAGTAATTGGTAAAAGTTAATTTTCTCTCTCGAAAAAGTTTGAGATTTATTTGATTTAGCTTTCGAAACATGTCTGTTCAACAATTGATTGTTGATCAGTGTTATATTATGTGCCTTCTGTTTTTACTATAAAAATTGATTTGCAATAGTTTGTACTTGTATAATATGCCATGTTGCTGTTGAAGAATGTTCCATTTTAACTTTGTACATCTTTTTTTTTCCTTCCTCTTGTTTATCCCCCCATTCTGCCGAAGGGGCACTTAGTATAAATTTTCTGACACGCTGAGTTATAAAAGTGCCTTTTTCGTAAAAGCTGTAGCTTCTCGTTATTTTAGTCAAAGGGTCAAAGCATAGAGAATGGTTAGTTTTTTTCAGCGAGATATATTCAGGTATTGTAGGATATGGTCCAAGTATATACCTGCACAATGCAACCACCCAAGCCAATGCCTTCAAAGAATTGATGGAAGCTAAGGGCACCAACAAGAGGCCTGATGGTGGATGGCCTCACAGATGCACCTAAGGACACTCCAATTATCACTGAATGCACCAAGATTCCAAGCTCAAGGACCTGCATGTTGAGAGATTTACTTTGTTATTTCAATATATTTTTGTCCTGAAAATTCTACCTAGCTGATGGACAGTGCACTCACTTCTCTCAGGCTGGAGAGGAACATTATGCTCTGAAGCACAAGTTAACACCCACTTTTTAGGTATTTATCTCCTTGTCCCAATATATATTTCTTCATTAATGTGTTTTGGGAACTGTAAAGATATATTTATGCCTTTTGTTCTCTGGAACTATGAATGACAATTATATATATCTTACAATGTAAATATATGATTGATCATAATGAGACATTTGAAGCTAATTCAGCAAACTGCTGTGATATCTTGATTGTTATGCACTACTCATGTAAAAATGGTGTGTTCTTGATTGTATTTAAAGTAATGCCATGCTTTTTTTATGATTTTCTTTGCTGCACTGACTTCAACTTTTATCAGTACTATTTGCAAGGGAGGTTTATGGACACCAAGGGACTGCACTTGCCTGAGATACCACCCTGTGCCGGATTGTATCAGCTATTGAAGCCTCCTCTGGTGAACTGATGACATCCGCCTCTCCGTGTGAATGCCCATGTGTTGCATGGGTGTGCACATGCACATGTTGTGCATGCCCAGTCCTCTCCTCATCTCCCGGTTGTTCATGGATCTCTAGGTTGTCGATTGGCTGTGCCTTCTTGAAGTGAGACCGGCGGTAGTATCCGGCAGCTAGTGAGTCTATCACCATTGTGGCCATTGCAGCAGACATTGCAATGAGGCCTGCAAAGGGGAAAATGTTCCCACCACTGCCACCTTTGTAGAGGCATGGGGATGTCAGCCCATCAAATGCTGCTGGCAGAATGTGGACCATGCCTGTGGCCAGGATGACACCAGCTGCAAATGCCTTGACAGCGAAAAAGATGTCACCATCAGGATGTAGCGCGGCCATGGAGCGGCCAAGTACTGGCACCAGCACACCAGCTGCTCCAGCTGTGAGGATGGATGCAATGGCAATCAGCTTCAGCTTCATTGCACCCAGGCTGTCAGTCTCAGTCCCATTTGTGGCATTTGTGCACTTGGAGGTGGCGGCCACAGCCAATTGTGCGAAGAATAGGAGCCATGGAAACACTTTCAAGGTATGCTTCACAGCCCCCATAGCCATTGGTTATGTTGTGTCTTGCGATATGCTGTATGTTCTAGTATGAGCTGCGAGGAGAGGCATATGGTTTGTGCTTTATATAGGAGGAATGTGTTGATTGGGATGGTTGCCAGATTGGCATCTCGTGGGCCGGGTGGGGGTCTGTTACTTTCAGTTTCCACATTCTTGTGTCAAAAACTGCAGTGCAAAGTGTTGCTATCTGGAGCTTATACCAGTCATCACCATCAAGGACTGAACTCCCACCACATAGTGCTGCTGTTAGTTGGCACTTTATGATGATGCTTAATGACCGTTGAATCATCGAACATGAAAAGGAAGAGATCCAGCCCAGATCCCCAGCGTGAAGCTCAGTTATCTGAATCTTGATCATCACGAGTCAGCTACCATATCTCCTGCTTGTCACTGTTCATAACTGCTGGATCGTTGATGACAAAAGCATAGGGCACCGGATGCCATTCACCTATTCAAGCAAGGAAAATATCGGAAGCAAGGGTGTGGAATGTACTGGCGGCTGGTGACGTGAATGGGTGAATGATGCTTTCTTGTATGGTCAAATCATCTTGTAATTAGATTATACTTTTTTGGGGCCTGCACTTTGCTGGTGAGTTCTTTTTGGTGGTGGGCTGAATATGATGTTCCACTCATGTCTAATCATCTGCGATGAGAGATGAGACTAAAACCTGTTCATGAACTCACTGGTAGATTCATCCCTGAGATTAAAATTGACCTTTTCTTTGAGGATATTGCTCCTTTTTGGTGGTTGTTAGTTCACGTATCTTTTATTGCACCTGGAAGACGTTGCTCCACCTTGCTGCTTTATGAGAGTGCTCCTGAACCAAACTGACCGAGTGATTTTCATGACTTCGGCAGGTATCGCACTGTTTTCCTGGAAGCTACAGCTCTCCTTTTGCTAAGAACCTGAAGCCTCTCTCTCGACCAAGAAATGCATCTTAATGTGTTGTTTGGGGGCTATCTATTCAATCCTAACATGTGGGGAAGATAAAGAGGTTGCTTTTGTTAGAAATAACAAACCTACAAAAGTGATTACACCAGAGCATCAGATTGGAACTGAACTAAGAAGATCACACAATGCAGAGGTGATTGCCCTATATCCATCACCTCCAAATAATAAGCTCATCTATCAGTTGTACTCTCAAGGATATAGAGGACCGTCCATTCGGTGCGACTCCGTTGTGCATGTTCTGTACAGGCCCAAATTTTCGCAATGTACGGCGCTTGGTCACTTTAACTACCCAGTGGCTTGTATTGCATGATTACACCTTTGGATAGTTCGTAGTTCCGCTAACCTTGGCACTGCAGAGGTCTCCTTGTCCAGTATCAGTGTCAAGGAATATTTGTGCATACAACAAATAGTATGCATCAAATAAAGAGGCACGCCCCTTTGTCTGGAGTGGGCAGCTGATGGTGAAAGCTCAGCTTTTTTGTGAGGGAAAGAACGCTCCAATTTGATGGAAAAGAACGTTCCATGACTTTGCAATAGGTTGGGATGCTCCATGGATTACTGGTTTTGTACAGGATGCAAAGGTGCTGCCATTGTTGAAGACCCCTCTCTATTCAGCTGCTCAATGGGTTCAATGTTGGAATGGATGTCGTCTGCATCTTTATCAGAATGGCTATCCCAATTGGTCCCTTCACTTCACCTTTTCATGGCACGAACTTGCCGCGTCATTCACAACGATTGATGCATTCATGCAATGGAGAAGACTGGGAAAGTTGGCCGTCCGTGTGGGGCTGTGGTGTGTGGAGTGTGGACCTTCCAAAAACTCTTCCGGGCTTGTGGCTTCGACTGTTGATAAGGATCTATGCCGGATTATTCCTGCTCCGTATCATCCTAGGATTGAACCATTCCAATCCCTAGAGAAGGACATTTCGGTGAAGTGGCTCACCCAATGACCCAAACATATCAGCCTCTGTGTCATGCTTACCAGTGAGCATTGCAGTGGCAGTTGGCCAAATGATGGGCAGCCTGACAGTTCACACTACATGGTTGCTTTTCATAGACATCACAATGGTGACCGGTCATCAGGTCGTGTAAGTTCACATGGTCTACTGAGCAGTGTCCAAATGGTGTACTGAGCAGTGCATGCCCCAATGGTCTGGTCTACTGAGCAGCGTCCAAGTTACCCGTCCTGCACGATTTGCTAATTAACACGTTCCAATAATGTCCGGAGAATGACAGATCAGTGAAGTGGCTGCCGAACAGATGAGCCAATAGCAAGCAACGGAAGTTGGCCTAAAGATGAAAAGAGGCAGCAGATTACACACGCTTGACAGCTGACACAGGCACGGTTTGCATAATGAACATGGAAATGCCCCTCACTCATCGGTCATCATTGGTCGATCCAAGCTGAGTTTACATCACCACATGGTCTACTGAGCAGTTTGCTAGTCATGGCCGGTGCACTAGCGGGGAAAAGAGGGGCCGGCCGGAGACGACGATGCCACTGCCACTGCCACGCGCAGAGAAGCAAGGACGACGACGGGATAGATATTCAGCCCGTTCGCTGGTTGGTTTCTGGGCTGATAAGCCCGACTGGTGCTGGTTTGTTGCGAGAGAAAAATACTATATCATGGCTGATAAACTCTGGCTGAAACCAACAAGCGAACAGGCTGATTGGACGGGACAGCGTGACTCCTGTGGAAACAGCAGCCGCACCACCGGGGGGAAAAAGCCTCGGTTCGTGGGGGAGCCAATAATGCCCGGCGAGATGCGTGTTGCACGATGATGCTGCGCTTGACTTGACGCCGGGAGGCCGGCCGTTGATCTCGCGTGCTGAGCTCGTCGGCACTGTGTTTGCTGCTGCTGCTGCTGTTCTGGAATCTGGACGTGCGCTGGAATGGCGAACAGTAGGTGATGGTGCCATGCTTGATGCTTGCTTGCAGAGTCAGTGCGTGGCTTGATCACTTCGTGCGCTGCGTTTTTGTACGTGTTCTGTGTTCGTGCCTAATGAGAGGAGAAAAGACGGTAAAAAATGCGATGCATTTTGGGTGGCCACCAGCTAGTCAACTTTCTGGCAATGCGTGCTTGCTTGCTTGCTCCCCTTTCTGCGTGCATGGTAACTGGCTAACTGCTGGAGTTACGTTTAATTTACAGTTGCAAGGAACAAGGCAGACAGACAGACTGATCAGGGAGAGAGAGATTATGTAACCACAGCAGGAAGCACTATGGCACTAGGGGAGAACTTTTTAACAACAATACTGATTTGATAGAGAATTTCAGAAGTAAATGCTGTGATGGAAGATTTGTAAGAATAGAAGGCTGTCAAGCTAGCTGAATGCCGATAGTACAGTAATCGGCTCCTTGTCGGAAGCCAGCCTACTGTAGTCCACGTAGCCTAATTATTTCCCATAGACTTATCGGCTACCACCAGACGGCTGGTTAACTTATCTGTAAGTCTGTGTCAAAAAACTTATCTGTAAGTGTGTCGGCAACTGGAAAGCTGATAGGCTCTCGGATATTTACCACTGCTACGGTTAAGTGATTTTTTTATTTCATAGTTTTTTTTTCTTGTCAACCCAAAATGAAGGACCTAAAGACCTCCAAAAAATTTGTAACTTTTCAAGTACATGAAAATAGTCAAGAACTAGACATTTTGCTTTAATTTGGCATCTTACATTTTTGTAGTTCTAAAATTAAAAATCTTCCTGTAATGAATTTTCTGTAATTTGTTTAGCCTCCAAATAGTCTCCAAAAATCCGAGAAAAAAACATCTAAATGCATGGCTCGGAAAGTAATATCTTTTTTTTCATGTAATTTCTCAACAAGTGTGCTCAAGTGAAATCCAAATTTATGCCCAAAATTAAATTTAAAAGCATGCAAAACGTCTACACGATGACCTTGGCATATAAAGACCAAAGCCAATGACGATTTCAGTTGTCGTATAAATAATGAGCTTCTTTTCAATGTTTTTTAAAATTTTAACATTAAATTTAAACTTAATTTTGAGCATGTGCCATTTTGTTAAGAAACATTGAATTTCATTTTAGTACATATGTTGGTAAATTACATGAAAAAATGATACTTCCTGAACCATGGATTTAGATTAATTTTTGGGCGTGGCTAGCTCCCAAATGTTCGGACGCCCGCGCAGCCCGCCTCCGTTCGCCTTGCTCCGACTCGCACGCGCACCCCACCCTCGACGTTGTGCCCCCGCTCCTCACGCCCGGACGGCCGCGCAGCCCGCCCTCCGCCTCACCCATGCCATCTCATGCGGCACTTGGGCAACGCCCCCTTCCCTCCCCTTTCGCTGCGCCTCGCTCCTTCCCAATGTTTTCCTAAACGGTAAATGGTCTTTACACGGTCGCCTTTGTTTAGCGTTTAGGTTGTTTACATGGTGTTTAAACGAAGTTAAACGGTCTAAACGGTTTTGTACTTATAAAAAAAATATATAATTATACATGTGCATGTAAAAAATCAAGTATTCTAGCATTTATACATATTTATCCGAGTAAAAATCAATTATTTTGCTATGTATATATATTTATGCATGTGAAAAGAACCAAATATAGATATTTATGCATGTAACATATCAAGTGTACACATTTATAAATATAATAAACTTAAGTATACAAATTTATCCATACAAAACTGAACTAGATTTACCTCGTGTTCGCCTAAACAGTCGTTTAGCCCGTTTAATGCTGTTTATCTCCATTCCGTTTAGGCCGTTTAGACCGTTTTTTTCTGTTTTTTTTACCGTTTAACCGGTCAACCGTTTAATTTCCGTTTACCCCATAAACAAAACAGTTTACCACCATTTACCGTTTACTGGCCGTTTAGGCGAACACTGCTCCTTCCCCCTGACACCCTCCTCTCTCTCCACGTGGACGAGATCCGGGAGCTAGCCCCCATCTCGTTGCGCCCCCGTTCGCTGGCCCCTAGTTCGCCACGCCCCATCCCCTGGCGCCCGGGTCATGCGCACCGTGCCCCCGTGAAACACTTGCAACATGAAACACTTGGATGCAACATACGTCTGGCAGAG